GTTGATTTTGACGGCCTTAAAGCTAAATAAAAATATTAGAATACTTTTGTTTTTGTGATCAGGCTCTCAAAATTAGATAAAAATTTGGATTTAAGTTTATCGGCCGATATATCGGTTATCGGCTTTCAAATATAAAGAATTATCGGTATCGGCCAAAATTTTCATATCGGTGCTTCCCTATTTTATTTTATTTTTTAAATATTTTTTTATTACATTTTTAACCCAACATTTGGGTTTGTCCATATTTGACCCAAATTCGGGTTGAAACAAACCCAGCATTTTTTTTAGAGTTTAGCATAATGGTGCATTCGCACTGGACATGAATAGCGCGCCAGGCGAGAGCGATTTCAATGTTAAGTCAATGTAAAAAGCCGCGTCATGCGCGTAAAAAATTCCTGTGGCGGAAAATTTTTGTCTTAAAAACACCACACTTTCATTTGACATTTTCACCACAGGCGGACTTATACAGTTGAGAAAGACAACACATATGTAATAGGGTTGTAACGGTACATCTATTCGTATTGAACCGTTTCGGTTCGAGGCTAATATTATATAAATAAATATCAAATATTATATAAATAAATATATATTTAAATGTTATTTTTAATGTGATAACCAAAACATTATTTGTTCATCCTTCAAAGATGACCCCCATTTATAAACCTGAAAGTTTCAAGACCTAGGAAAACTCGCACTTATTTAAAAATATTTTTTCTTTAAACAAATAGGAAATTTCTCTAGCATTTCTTTCTTTTTGCTGTATCGAAAACGTACCGAACCGTGACTTTAAAACCGAGGTGCGTACCGAACCGTGATTTTTGTGTACCGTTACACCCCTAATATGTAACACTATCAGTATTTTGGATCCATGCATTAGCTACAGTATGTCTTAAAGTGACAGCAGCCTAATATTCCTGCTGTCTGTTTGTATAGTGCTTTTCACAATACTCATTGTTTAAAAAATATTAATACCATAGTGTTCTTTGAAGTACCTTACAGTGCAGTGATATTTGTTTTATTTTCTGTATGAATAAGCCATGTCATAGTACCAACTTTTCTTTATCCGGTCCCCAGGCGTGCTGATGTTGCATTTTGTCCAAAACAATCCCACTGTTTTTCAGACTCTGAAGTGGATGTCTAAATTGGTCAGTCCTCCGCTCCCATCCCTCCTGTCCTCCCCCCGACTCCCACACTCCTCCCTCCTCTACCTCCCCCTCCCCTCATCCTTTGCTCACCTCTCCTTATTTGGGCAGAGTGCTTGGAAGTGCAGGGTGGGGAAGAGAGTAGAGTGAGAGGGGGCTCGGTTGACATAAGGGAGAGAGAGAGAGAGAGAGAGAGAGAGCTCAACGCCGCACTTCCTTAATAAGGACATGTCTGGAATTTAAGCCCAACTCTCCAACAGAACGGCTTCTCCGTGCTCCCCATGCACACACTCGTCTCTCACCCTCTCCCCTAGCCCTAGTACACACACACACACACTAAATGGAGTGTTGCTTTTTCAGGGCATGCATCCATGCCTTTTTTTATTGAAGTTGGGGATATTCAAATGAATCAACCAATCATTAATACCCTTGATCAGCTCTACAAAACATAGATGTTTTTCCACTAGGAAACGAACATTGTTATTATGTTCTGATTGAGACTGTGAAGCTGCTTTGATCTATATTGTGAAAAGTGATATATATAAATGAAGAGTTCAGATGCAAAAGCCTCTAAATGCCATTTGAAATTTTCTTCTTTAATGATGATTTTTATCAAACTTGTATATTTAAGTTCAGTAATTTCACTTAAATGGCAATTATTTAAGTGAAATTACTGAACTTAAATATACAAGTTTGATAAAAATCATCATTAAAGAAGAAAATTTCAAATGGCATTTAGAGGCTTTTGCATCTGAACTCTTCAAATATACTTGACTTGAAAAGTTAGCTTGTTTGTGTTACCTTGCATTATGTGATTTTATTTGATGACATGGCAGAAATCACTGATAATATGTGTAGAATCCAGAGCGTATGGCGAGCTTCAGCTCCATATCGGTGTGATGATTCACTATGACACAATGTTCGTTCGTTCATTCATTCTTTATTCTGTCACCTGATGCAGTTTGGGTTCTTCGCCACTGTCACTGTTTCGCCAAAAAAAAAAAGTTTTAAAGCTAAATAGAAATATTAAAAAACAAAAACTAATAAAAAATGTCAAAAGCACATAACCAAATTATTGAAACTTGAGCTATAATTAAAATTAATACTGAAAATATGAATACATTAATAGTATTTTTTAAATAATATGAATACATTTTTAAAATTAATACATTTTCAAAATATGAATAACAATGCTGATCAACCTATTTAATAGGGCTGGGTTTATCGATTCAGATGTTCCAATTCGATTTTGATTCCCGATTCGCCTCAATGAATATAGATTTAATACAAATTCTATATTTATAAAAAAAAAAGAAAAGAACAATGAACATAAGTTTACAAGTGGTTAATTCATAAAAAAAGAAATAAAGAGCCACAAACCTGTATATTAAACTCTTTATTTTAGGTACATTAAAACAGAATCCAAATCCAATGCAAGGATTTTTTTTTTTTTTGCAAGATGAAAAATGTATGTTGAAAATTGAGCAAGTCAGAACAGTCGCATGCCTTGATCTAACAGGATCAGGTTATTTTATGTCTTATGTTTAAGATAAAACAAACATAAAATCTCACAGCATTAGCTGTAACATGGACAGTGAACGGTGAAGGAAAACTAACACTGGCTTTTGGGTGATTTTTTTTATTTTTTTATTTATTTATTTTTTTACTAAGAAAAAAACTAACAAACTTTTTAAAAACAAAAAAATTTAACTAAAAAAAACCTAACTAAAAAACTAACAAAAAAAAAAAAAAAACTAAGACTGGCTTTTGGGTGATAGATAGATAAATAAATATGGGAAAAAATATTTGTGACTTTTAAGAAACGCATTATAAAAAAACGAATAATTGAAGAATATTTTTAAAAAATATATCTGAGTATTAATGTTAATTAATGTGAAATTTCTTTTCTCTTAATTGTCTTTCCAAAGGGAGTGCTTTTAAAACTATATTGACAAATACTCAAAGAATGATCTTCCACTTTTTTTTACATTTCGGTAAATAAAGGAAATGTTTCTGTTAATGCATCCTTTAATGTGACATGCAAGTAGTGATTTTGGAGATGCTTTGGAATCCAGTAAATTCAGTCCTGCAAAAAAACAAAAAAACAAATCATCCAGATACAAAATGAATGTTAATACCAGTAAAACCTTTAAGGCATACTTGGGAGTGGGCACTTTTGACCTAGCGATGAGGGCTGGGTAATAAATATAGATTTCTCGATATTAATCGATTCTCATTTTTACGAACCGATATCGATCCTGTTTCATTTGAATGAATGGATCATTGTATCGCGGCTGCGTGCATCCAAAAAAATCACAATAATCTTTGCTACTATTGATATGAAACAAAGTCTCAATTTTCAAAATACGTCCATTTTCTTTAGAAATTCAAAAACATAAATAACGTTTTGGCGCTGTGGCTCAAGAGAAGCAGCAGCGCTGATCTCTCTTCCGGCTTAATAATACCAGTCACAGCGCCAAATAAACATGAACGAGCATCTGAAAGTGTGTTAAAGATAGAGTACAACTTATCCAAATCCGTATCATGTCACATTGATTCCCTCAATCAGCGTTTCAACCGTGGAAAGACGTCAGTTAAACAGCTTGTAATCAATGTCATCGTCATATTTACCTCAGAAAACCCACATAAACTCGTTAGTCAGCTAGAAAAAATAACTCTAGAGAGGAGCATTTTGCTAAATATATACACCATATTACATATGCATTATAATCTTAATGTTTTTCAATATTTAATGCATATTTGAATAAATCTGGCAAGTTTTTATGACAGCCACCATTTAAATATTTATATTTCATATGATCTTCTTATTATAAAAATAAATAAAAGTGTAATTTAAGTGTTTGTATAGCCACAAAACAGTTCATTATTACCTTCATATTAGGCTAATGAAGCCTATAGGCTACAACTAGACTCCCATAGTTTACAGCATTAGTTAAGAGATTTGATTCCCTTGAGAAAAATGGCCATTTATTGTAACTGATATCCAAAATAATCAATATTGAATCGAATTGTAAAATTTGTCTCAATAATACCCAGCCCTACTAGCGATGCACTAAAAGTCTCTCGTATCAGCTTAGCAACCGCATAGCAACACCCTGGGCTAGTTTAACAAGTGCATTCAAAGCTTATTTAGCTTGAATCCCAGATCATAGTCTTTTGGAAACTGATGGCTAATTGCACCAAATGTTGGGTCTCCTGCAGGATCCAGGGACTACAACCACTTCATGAACATTGTTTCTTGTCGTCTAAGAGGCAAGTGAGATTTAAAGGTGTATCGCTAATTGTCCTGCAGCATTGGTCTGAGGTCTGCAATGTCGGAAAGTAATTAGACCGCTCTCCGCTCCGTTGTTTTGCTCATTCTGTGTCTTCGGGGCTGCCAAGTCAAGCTTATTCTTTCAGCGTGCGTGTAACCAGAGCGCTTGAATATCCCCTGAGGAAGCTCTCAATCGGAGTCGGCCGTATTTACCCAAGCCGCGTTTTTTCGTCAACATCAGCAGAAAGTGAAATAAAAGAATGAAATATGTGGGCACACGAGTGACTCTCGGGAGTCGCACAATACCATGCGAAAAAGAGGCAGCCTGGAAAACGCTTAACCATTTTCAGACGTTTAGACACCCACACTCCCGACCACAAGCATTTTTGCAGGCTACTCCTAATTATCTAATCCTTTTAAATGGGGCTTTATATAATGTTTAAAAATTCATTTGTCATTTTGGGAGCCTTTGAGGAGAGGAAATGGTAATAAGGGTCTTCATCAGCTGAATTAAACTCGAAAATGGCTCGACTAAAGAGAGCGGTTTTCTCTTCATTCCCTCATTCCTTGCTTCTCTCTCGCAGTACTTGTGTAGCGTGGGGGCTCGTGGGAGGGCCCGGTAGGAGCCGGCACCATTGCGTCCAACAAGTGGAGTGCCAGCGGCAGCCCGGAGCAGGGGCTGGAGGATGGGGGTGATGAGCTGGACAAGGCCATGGACGGAGACGCCGAGGGTGTGTGGAGCCCCGACATCGAGCAGAGTTTTCAGGAGGCGCTGGCTATATATCCGCCCTGCGGACGCCGCAAGATTATCCTGTCGGACGAGGGAAAGATGTACGGTAAGTGAGCTTGCAACGCATTTAAAGGGTTAGTTCACCCAGAAATGATGTCATGATGTCGTCCCAAGCCCGTCAGACCTCCGTTCATCTCCAGAACACAGTTTAAGATGTTTTAGATTTAGTCCGAGAGCTTCATTGGAAATGTGTGTACGGTATACTGTCCTTGTCCAGAAAGGAAATAAAGACATCATCGAAGTCCATGTGACTATTTTTGTTATTTTTGGTTTCTTTTAGGGCTGCAACATTTATGTCGATATCTGGTTAACTGGTCTGATTGGATAAAACCAATTTTTATTAAATATTTTACTGACGATAACATAATATTCCACATCCGGCCCAACATTGTCTGTCATTTAAGTTAAACGTAAATTCAATAAATGTGAGAACATAAGCCATTAGGGGTGGGGGAAAAAAATCGATTCTCGATGCATCGCGATGCGGACGTGGACGATCCTGAATCGATTCACAAACGTCAAAAAATCGATTTCAAAAAAAAAAATTGTTATATGTATTTAATGTATTTAATCCAGCTTACTTTTGAGCCAGTTTTTCAAAGCAACATCGGATTGAATCAATCTGATCTGGATAGGAACTTTTCAGGATCACCAAATCTGGATAACCAGTGCTCAAACAGGATAGCAAATCACAATGTAGAACTTTATAAAGAGCAACAGGTAGACAAAACAAGTAACAATAAATGTATTGAATAATAAAAAAAGACTTAATGTCAAATACTCCACAATAATTTCAGACCTCCTCATCTGATGTGGAGAGACCAGTTTGTCTTTAGGAGGCGAATACCAAGTCTGGCCTTGGTTTGCTCGTTTTACTTTGCTGTAGGCCTATACTGAAAGGCTGAATACGTTAAAGCCTACCTAGTCACTGTAGCCTGATGGATGAACAAATAAAATACAAACTTATGAATAAATAGGATATCTTGGAAGATACTGCATGATCCAAATATAGTATTATTTGATACATCTTTAAGGTTTTCATTACATTTTGGGCATGAAATCCACTTTGAATCCACCCTTCTGATGGGATCAGTTTAATCCGGATTTTTTGGATCAGAGTGATCCAAATCCTACAAAAAAGTTCTGAAAAACCCAAACTAAAGGTTTGATCCGGATCAAAACCAAGATTGGATTACGTGATCTAATCTGATTATGTAATCCATTTTTTTTCTTTTGAAAAACCCATTTTCAAGATTTGATCCAATCCATTATCCAAAATCCCGTAACGTAATATTGACGGAACGCGAAAGACGGAACTCTGAAGCGCGGAAGTGCAGTGGCGGACCGTCTGTGGCGTGCACATAACAGAGATGAGATGGCACGCGAGATCCAAACACCTTCCTTGTTAGGTTAAAAGCTGACGTGTGGAAATATTTTGGCTTCTGAAGTTGAAGGGGGAAAGGAGCTGGACAAGAGCCGCACTAGTTGTACGCTTTGTGGAATAAAACCAACGACGGAAACACGACAAATATGATAAGCCATATGACACCTTTCCAGCCAGAGGAGGAAAAACACTCGGCTGCACCAGTCGTTATATTATTTATTTACTACAAGTATGCTCCTAGTTCAAGCACACATTTATTTTCCTGGTCGTTCTTTGTAATGTTAATAAAATATATTGTACATTAATTCTTTATGGGTCATTACTTTGTGCTTTTAAAGCAAATTATTTATAGTCGCACACAAAAGATTCAGATAATCGATTTGTAACATTATAAATGTCTTGTACTTTAACTTTTGATCAACTTAATTTATCCTTGATGAATAAAAGTATAGATTTCTTTTTTCTTTTGCCCAAAAAATTAAATAAAAATTCTTACCGACTCCAAACATTTGAACGGTATTGTTTAATGTTACAAAAGCTTTCTATTTCAGATAAATGCTGTTCTTTTGAATTTCTAGGTGATTCTCTGAATCGGGTGCCCTTCAAGTCCCCCAAACTTGCTTCAAATATTTTCAATTGAAGGAAATCACAAAATACATTTTAATGCTGTCAATTAATAGAACCAGGTGCATTTGCATTATAATGCAACACAGTTGCTTTTGAAAAATTTTATTTCATTTATTTCAAAAATCATTTAAAGTTATTAAATTTAAAGATAATGAGTTGCCTAAGTAGTAGACAACAAGCATGTTTGCATGTCCTCACTAACCATCATTATATTTTCAATGAATATCAAACAAATAAAAAGTGCAATTAATACCAAAATGTTGCTGCTGCTAATATAATCATATGTTGGTCTAGTGTATTTTCGTTTACTGTTGTGAAATGGAAAATCAATAATCGGTAATCGAGAATCGTTAATAATAGGAAAATCGACTGTAATCGAATCAGGACTTCAATAATCGTAATCGAATCGGGAAATCAGACAGATTAACCACCCCTATAAGCCATGATATACATATTATTATTTTTGATTTGCTCTCTTTTGTCTCATAAATGCTAATCTAAAATTACACTTTTTTTAGTTTTTCCCTGTTGTACTGGGTAATACCTGTTGTAAAGTCCTTGTTTGTTTTGATGTGATTTGAGTTATGCAATTATTGGCTTTGTAATTTGTGCCGCCCAAGTAGTATTTATGAACTCACGGACTGAGATGAGTGTTCAACGGCTGAGATTGTGTCACTGCAGTACAGGTTTTTGTATTTAAAGGATGCAAGACAAGTGTTTCTAGATAGATCATGGGGAGGGCTGGTGAAAGGAGGGATGGAAACTAGAAAAAAAGATAAGAGGGTAATGGGCAGATCGAGCTGGGTTGTGATATCCGACACACTCGAGGATCCCGTTGCGCATGCCACCAGCGAAATCCATGCATGCGTAAACCATTTCCACTGTTTCATAAAGCATCGTAAAGTGTCTCTCGTTCGAACGCCATCTGCTCTCTTACATAATCCTGTATTCAGTCTAGCAATGGCTTCTTACTATGTTATGTTCGATAAACGGAGGTTCTCGTTCACTAATACACTCACAAACATGTCTTAGCCAGCAGTTGTGTTTTTTCAGAGCAGATAAAACAGGCCTGCACTTGTGCTGTGGACTACAGGTTTGGGAACAGACCGGTTTCTCAAGAACATATCACTCTTTCTGTTGGTTCTTTGTCACTGCTTGCCCTTGAATGCCCCCTCCTCTCGTTTTTTGTTTTTTTCAATTCACCCTCAAACTGGTTTTATTTGTCACATCCGATCACTAGCAACTCTTTTTCTTCAGCCCTGTAAGACAGTTGTCGTTTATTTTCCTTCTTCCTCCCTCTCACCCAGTTGAAAAAGTGGCTAAACCAGCTCAGTTTGTCTTGCTCAATCAATGTTTTTCCCCCCCATAAGATCTCACTCACCCTCCCTCCTCCATGTTCTTGTACTCCTCTCTCTTTTTTTTTTTACCAGTTCTTCCTCCTAAACAAGGTAGGTCTTCCCCCTGAGGCAGAGCACTTTAATAACTCCAGGTGCAAAGTAGTATTTCCAGTGAAGCGTTACTCTCATTAGACTGAGGACAAGAATTTATTCAAGTATGTGAACGCACACATTTCTAGTTGATTGTTGCGTTCCCGAAATGTCTAATATCACAGTACAAGTATGTCTGAACATCAGTCACTTGAGTTAATTGGCAATTTGTACTGTCAATTTTCTGTTATGGTGGAGCAACAGATCAAAGATAATCTTCCTTAGAAAGTTTCTAGCCTAAAACTGCTAATTAGTCAAGGCAAGTCTTCTTTATTAGCTTAAAGGAGTAGTTCACTTTTAAAAAAAACTTTTGCTGATAATTTACTCGCCCCCATGTCATCCATGACGTTCTTGTTTTTCTTTCTTCAGTCGAAAAGAAATTAATGTTTTTGATGAAAACATTCCAGGATTTTTCTCCATATAATGGACTTCAATGGGGACCAAACGGTTCAAGGTGTAAAAGACAATTTCAGTGCAAACTGAAAAATGTTCAAAGGGCTTTAAACTATTCCAGACGATGAATAAGGGTCTTATCTAAAAAAATAAGACAAAGTCTTTTAAAAAAAATAATAAAGTTTAAGTTTTATAAGCACAAATGGTCGCCTTGCTCTGTTTTGTGATGCACGTTCGTGACTCTCCTGTCTATCAAAATGAACGAATCTTTTCCCGAGTCAGCTCATTAATTTCGTTCGTTCAATGAACCAAATGACTCGAAAAAAGATTCGTTCATTTTGATGAACGAGTTCGAACAGGAGAGTCACGAACGCGCATCACAGAACAGAGCAAGGCGAGCATTTGAGCTTATAAAACGTAAACTTTGTAAAAAAAAAAATTTAAATGAGCGATGGTTTTGCTTGATAAGACCCTTATTCATCGTCTGGTGTCGTTTAAAGCCCTTTGAAGCTGCACTGAAACTCTCATTTGGACCTTGAACCGTTTGGACCCCATTGAAGTCCATTATATGGAGAAAATCCTGGAATGTTTTCATCAAAAACCTTCATTTCTTTTCGACTGAAGAAAGAAAGACATGGACATCTTGGATGACACGGGGGCGAGTAAATTATCAGCAAAAGTTTTTTTTAAAAGTGAACTACTCCTTTTAAATGTATTGATTATAAAACGTCTGTATCCAAAAGTTAACAGGACAGAATCAGTAAATCTATTGCAAAAGTTACCAAATCTGGTTGGTAAACTCTTGTCTTGAGCGATATGTCTCTTTTTTACAGTTGTGTAGTCATAACGGCAGATGGACGCTTAAGTTTGGCTGGAATTGGGAGGGTCCAGGTGTTTGGTGTCGCCCCCCCCCCCCTCAAACTGTTTGCTCTCCTTTCTTCTCCTCCGAGAAACAGACAAGACAAAACCCAAGAACTGGTTTGAATTAGCAAGCCAACCCTCGATACAAAACAGACCGCGAGAAGCCATGGCAAACTGACAGAGAGCGTCCAGAACACAAACCAGTGTTGGCGAAGTAACTTTGAGGATCTTTTAGGGTTGTGGTTGTCTTTCCTTGGAGAACCCCATGTTAAACGCAACTCTTGTGATCAGAAT